CCAAATCTGGGTGCTGTGAGGAGACAATGGCTGCCTAGGAGGCAGAGCTTTTGACGCTGACTGGCATAGAAACCGACCAATCAGAACCAAGTTGGCCAGCAGAGGAGGGCAGTTGGGGGTGAGATCAGGCCTGTAGGGGAGAGCAGTTGGGAGCGAGATTAGGCTGGCAGGGGAGGGCAGTTGGGGGCAACTGTGCCTGCAGGGGAGGACAGTTGGGGGTGAGATCAGGCTGGCAGAGAGGGCAGTTAGGGGTGATCAGGCTGGCAAGCAGAGGCAATTAGGGGCGATCAGGCAGGCAGGCAGAGGCAGTTAGTGGTGATCAGGCAGGCAGGCAGGTGAGCAGTTAGGAGCCAGCGGTCCCAGATTGCCAGCAGTCGGACATCCCCCAAGGGGATTCTTGCTCCCCAATCTGTGTACCAATTGGAGAGGGTGCAGGCTGAGCTGAGGGAACCCCCCCTCCATGCATGAATTTTGTGCACTGGGCCACTAGTTATGAATAAAAGGCCTACAAACATTGACGTGTAGGTTTTTGTGTAAACATAAGGTTTCAGCGCATTAGGTCAATACCAAGGTATGTGATTGCTGGATTTTACTATATGTAGTAATTAAAGCTGGGGACAGTAAAACAAGGAAGGGCTTCACATAGAAGAATCAATAGAGAGCCTAGGCAAGGCTGCTTTGTCTCGTTGAGAAGTCAAAGAAAGGGGACTTTGGAGACAGGGTCAGGGGGTTAGCCCAGGACGAGCTGCTGCTGCCCATTATTCCCCTGGTTGTAAATCTGGTGGGGTCACTTAGAGTTTAGGAGATGCATGCCTGTGGGGAAGAGAGGGAAGGGCAAAGGGCAGGCATGCTCCCAGGAGGGAGAGCTCCGTATTTAGTTTTGACAGAAAGTTCCTGTCTCCCACAACCTAGGTATGTGCCCTGACTGGGAATCAAACCCGGAACCTTTTAGTGTTCAGGAATATGCTCCAAACCAATTGACCCACCCGCTAGAGCAGGAGTTTTTGATTTTAATAAAGTGAAACTTTTTTTTTTGGTGTCTTATCTAAAAATGTATCACAAACACAAAGTCACCTAGATTTTCTTATATGTTAAATTCTAGGAATTGTTTTTACTTTTTTTTTTTTTAATATATTTTATTGATTTTTTACAGAGAGGAAGGGAGAGAGATAGAGAGTTAGAAACATCGATGAGAGAGAAACATCGATCAGCTGCCTCCTGCACATCTCCCACTGGGGATGTGCCCGCAACCAAGGTACATGCCCTTGACTGGAATCGAACCTGGGACCTTTCAGTCCTCAGGCCGACGCTCTATCCACTGAGCCAAACCGGTTTCGGCTTGTTTTTACTTTTGCATTTTACATTTAGATGTATGATCTATTTTGAGTTAATTTTTGTGCAAAGTTTAAATTCTGTATGTACATTCATTTTTCATGTATGTGTGTGTTGTATGTGGATATCAATTATGGTTTATTTAAAAGACTTTCTTTTTTCTTATAATTATCTTTACTCATCTGTCAAAGATCAGTTTACTATGTGTCTATAGGGAACCAGTTGACTTGTATATTCTTCAGTCTGGCTATTCCAGGCATTATCTCTGTTATTGTGTTTTTTCCCCAGATGTTTTACACAGACAGTCATGTCAAATGGAATAAAGACATTTTTGATTCTTGCTCCCCAATCTGTGTACCTTCTATATTCTTTGCTTTTAAAAAAATATTTTTATTGATTCTAGAAGGAGTGAGAGATAGAAACATCAATGATTAGAGAGCATCTTCGATTGAATGCCTCCTGCACACCCCCTACTAGGAATTGAGCCCGCAACAGAGGCATGTGCCCTGACCAGAAATTGAACCATGACCTCCTGGTTCATAGGTCGATGCTCAATCACTGAGCCACTCTGGCCAGGTTTATTCTTTTCTTATTACATGGCTAGGGCTTCCAGTACCATGTTGAATGGGACCGTGAGAGGATACCTTTCTCTTCTCATCTTACCAGAAAAGCATCTAGTTTTAATTATCTATAATAATAAAAGGGTAATATGCTAATTAGACTGGACATCTTCCAGACATCCTTCCTGATGAAGCCGAGGCCTGAGGGAAGCCAGGCCAGATTCCAGATGCCTGCCGGAGGCTGGAGGAAGGAAGCCCAGGTCCTGGGTGCCGGAGGGAAGCCCGTGCCAGCAGCTGGGGGAAGGAAGGCCTACTCTTGCACAATTTTCATGCATCGGGCCTCTAGTATTAAATACGATGTTAACAATAGGTATTGTGATGTTTTCTCAAGAGAGAATTTCCTCTATTACTGGATTATTTTCATAAACGGATGTTGGATGGAATAAAATACCTTTTCTTGTTCGTTTGCCCTTCCTTTCATTTCTAATAGTAATTTCTCTCTTCCCTCTTTTCAATTATCTTGACTAGATGTTTATAAATTTTTTTCAATGGACCAACTTTTGGTGTTTTTTTCTTTCATACTTGAAACATTTTACTCCACTTTCTTCTTTTTGCATGGTTTCTGAGAAGAGGTCTGATTTAATTCTAATCTTTTTTTTTTCTCTATACCTAAAGGATGTTTCCCCTTCTGGCTTTTTTCAATGTATTTTCATCTTTGATTTTTCTCTAGTTTGGACATGATATTCTTGGTTTGCATTTCTGGTATTTTTCATGCATAGCATTCACTGAGCTTTTAAAAATTTTTTTATTATTTCTTGATTTGAGAGTGAGAGAGAAACATCAATTTATTATTTTACTTATTTATGCATTCATTGGTTGATTTTTGTATGTCCCCTCACTGAAGATTGAACCTGCAACCTTGGCGTATCAGGACAACACTAACAAACTGAGCTACCCAGCCAGGGCATTTCACTGGTCTTCTTAATTGTACAATTTGCTGACTATGATTAATTTTAGTAGGAAAATCTCAGTGATTACTACTTAACTATTTTTTCTGTTTGTCTTTTCCTTCAGATATCCCCATTATGTGCATTTCAATCTTCTGTAATTGCTCCAACAGTTCATGGATATTGTGTTTTGTGATGTTTGTTCTTTTTGTCTTTGCATTACAGGCCTTGACAGAATATTGGGGCTATATTTTAAAATGCTGTTTTATTTTCTCTTTTGCAATGTTGAAGAGAGTGGCTTGATTTTTACCTCAGTCCTCTGATAGATCTAAGAAAAGTTGTTCATTACAAGTTTTTGTTTTGTTTTGCTTTTTCTACGAGATCAGTAATGATGGCTTCCAAGTTCCTTAAATGTCCGACCAGAAACTGGAATTCTCTGACTCCAGTTGATGATTGACAGATGACAGCTTTCCAGTCTCATCCCTCCTCATTCCCCTTTGACTCACATCTACACAAAGTGATAAGAGTTCCTTGATGCTCCTTTCTTTAAAGGTGGCAAGAGATTTGGTCCTCTAAGGTCCTGCTCTCATGTGTGAACCATAACTCTAACTCATCCACTAACCTCAATTTTACAAACGGTCCAGGCATCTCTTTTTGCTTTCTTACGCCATCTCATGACTACTAGAGAGGCCTGCCTTGCTTTTTCCACAGGCCTCAAGTATGGGAGTAATAAACTCATTGTACATTCTTTGCAATATGTGGTGTCATCAGCTATGGGATTTGAGATGTGCTCAGGGTTCGAGACATCATGCTGCCTTACTCCACGTGGGAGCTTGGGAATTAGAGAACTTGGGAGTGTACCCTCTAGGGTGGCTGGTGAGGAAACACTTTCTTCTGCAATTTAAAAATGGAGATTATATAACCCAGCAAGTGTTGCTCAGTGGTTTAGCGTTAACCCATGAGCCAAGAGGTCACAGTTCAATTCCCGGCTCATGACTGGGTTGCAGGCTGGATCCCCAGTAGGGGGTATGCAGGAGGCAGCTGATCTATGTTCCTCTCACATCTCTCTCTCTCTCTCTCTTTCTGTCTCTCTCTCTCTAATCAATAAAAACATATTACATATATATTTTTTAAATGGAGATTACATGTTCTTTTGAAGGAAAGCACTGCTGAATCCTTCGATGTATGTTATGCTCAATGGCAAATTTGCAATCAAACCTTTGTGTATTTCACTGAATGCAGTTGCAGTTGGCAACTCTCAGTCTGTTCTTCAGGGTCAAGAAGGTGCAGGGCAGTGTTCTGTTTCTGCCGTAAAGAGCTCTTCTGGCACATTTGTTACTGTATGTTCCCATGTCTGCCAAAAATTGTCTCCATGCAGCCCTGAGGCACATGAGTGTAGGGATTTCATGGTCTGAGTTAGGTCCTTTACCTAGTGTCTGAACTCTGGCTTCTAATTAATTTTATAGCCCATCAAATTAGATGGAGAGAGAAAGGCAGAGGAAAAAGCAGTACTTCTTCACAAAAATATTTCGACTTTGCGAGCTGTGCCTGACTACTTCTAAAGGCCCGGGATACTTTAGGGATGATAATGGCCAGCTGTTCCTTATTAAAAGTTGGATTTCCATTGGTCTCTTAGACTTCTCATGTTTGGAGATGAGAAAGGGATTCCTTGCCCCCCCACCCCCCACCCCCCCCATTAAAATTGTGTGCAGATTTGACCTTCTGCCTCATGGAGGGCTGTAAGTGATTGTAATAATAAAGGAGATGAAGAGTTTTTCTCACAAGGTATTGATGGCCTTAAAATGATAGTTTTGTTTTATTTGTATAGAATTTCTGTCACTGCTCAACATTCTCTGAACCCTGCCATTAGAGAAAAATAAGATGTAATGTGATCACAGTAAAAATGTGTAAATCATTTCCATATGCTCATCATGCTGTTAAATTTATAAGGAAGTATATTCATGTTAACCAAAGTCATCCCAATAAATTTAATAAAAATGTATAAGGAAGTGGGTATGGATAGAGAGTAAGTTTCTGATGATCAAATCATGGCATGAATGTTCGGAGATGATAAAATCATACATAAGCTTCCTATAAATGGAATATAGATGTCATGTGCAGTCTCATGCATCCTACTGTAAACATACTTGGGATGTTTTAGGATCCTGTGGCCATTGAAGATGTGGCTGTGAACTTCACCCTGGAAGAGTGGGCTTTACTGGATACTCCACAGAAGAAACTGTATAGAGATGTGATGAAGGAAACCTTCAGGAACCTGGACTCAATAGGTAAGGATGAGGACATTCATCAGTTGTCACTAGAGAACAAATACTTTTTGATCACCATCTTTTTCCCAAGGTGCAGATTGTGGAAAGGAGGACATTGGTTAATAAACTAGGCATAGTCACAGCTAATAATGAACATAGAACCTAACAATTTTTTATAACTTATTAATATTTTGGAATCATTTTTCTGGGTTTACATTTTAGGCCAAAACTGGGAAGATCATTACATTGAAGATCTGTACAAAAGCCAGGGGAGAAAACTAAGGTGAGTCACACTCACAATAGAAAATAGTGTCTCATGTGAGAATCCTGGTGTTATGAATTTTTAAAAGAAGGAAACAATAAACAATTCCTGCTTCAAATTTAGTTATTCTTAATTTTTTTAACCAGAAATACTTTCTTTATATGTGACATAAATATTCAGTGTTTGCAAAATAGTTTACTTGGAAACTGTATTAATAAGTCCTATATATTACTGTTTTGGTGAAGTCCTTCTGAAGAACAATCACTATATCCAACTTCAGAGAATTCAGACAAGGCAGGAAGTTTACACATTTCATATAAATCCTAATAAGTAGTTTGAAAAGTACCGTTTTAAAAAATCATTAGTAATGTGCTTCTCATTTTTTACAGAAGTCAAATGGTAGAAAGACACTATGAAAGTAAAGAGGGCAATCAACATGGAGAAAATTTCAGCCTTACCCCAAATCTCAGTCTGAACAAGAAAACTACTGGAGTGAAGCCACCTAAATGCAGTATATGTGGAAAAGTCTTCATGCATTATTTTTCCCTTAATATGCATATCCGAGGTCACAGTGGACACAAACCATATGAATATCTGAAATATAGAGAGAGGCCATATAAATGTAAGGTGTGTGGGAAAGCTTATATTTCTTCAAGTTTATTTCAAATACATCAAAGGAAGCACACTGAAGAGAAAACCTATACTTGTAAGGAATGTGGGAAAGCCTTCCGTTTTCTCACCTCCTTTCAAATACATGAAAGGGTTCACACAGGAGAAAAGCAATACGAATGTGAGGAATGTGGAAAACCCTTCATGTGGCTCACAAGCTTTCGAAGACACATGGCCATGCACACTGGATATGGACCTTATAAATGTAAGCAATGTGGAATGGTCTTTAGATATCATCAGGCTTTTCAAACACACGAAAGGACTCACACAGGAGATAAAGCCTATGAATGTAAGCAATGTGATAAAGCTTTCAATTCTCAACGAGGTTTCCAAATACATCAAAGCTATCACAAAGGAAAGCACCCCTATGTATGTAAACAATGTGGAAAAGTTTTTAGATATCATCATACTCTTCAAGCACATGAAAAGATTCACACAGGAGAGAAACTCTATAAATGTAAGCAGTGTGGTAAAGTTTTCAATTCTCATCGAGGTTTCCAAGTACATGAAAGATATCACAAAGGAGAGAAACCCTATGAATGTAAGAAATGTGGTAAAGCTTTCAGTTCTCACCAAGGTTTTGAAATGCATGTAAGAAATCACAAGGGAGAGAAACCCTATGCCTGTAAGGAATGTGGTAAAAGTTTTAGTTGTTATCGAGGTTTCCAATTACATGAAAGAAATCACAATGGAGAGAAACCCTATAAATGTGAATGTGGTAAAGCTTTTGTTTATTACTATGCCTTACAATTACACAAATCAACTCATACTGCAGAGAAATCCTATGAATGCAAGGAATGTGGGAAAGTCCTCAGTAACCACAAATGCTTAAAGAGACACGAGAAATTGCACACAGGAGAGAAATCCTATAAATGTAAGCAATGTGGGAAAGCTTTCATGCATCTGTCAGGATTTCGGACACACATGAAAATGCATGCAGGAAATAGACCTTATCAATGTAAGGAATGTGGGAAGGCTTTCATTTACCCATCAGGTGTTAGAGCACACATGATGCAAGTACATGTTGGAAATAGGCCTTATCAATGTAAGGAATGTGGGTTAGCATTTTATTTTCCCAGTTCATTACGCAGGCATGAAATGACTCACACTGGAGAGAAACCCTGTGAATGTAAACAATGTGGTAAAACCTTCAGAGATCACAGTTATTTAAAAATACATGAAAGAAGTCATACTGGAGAGAAACCCTATAAATGTAAGCATTGTGGTAAAGCTTTTATTTCTCAGCTAGGTTTCCAAGTACATGAAAGAAGTCACACTGGAGAGAAACCATATGAATGTGAAGAATGTGGGAAATCCTTCGGTTATCCCAGTTCCTTCCGAAGGCATAAAAAGACTCACAGTAAAAGTCCTGCTGAATGTAAATAGCATAGGAAAGACTTCAGTCGATCCACATCCTTACATGTGGGGTGGGGGTAGATATAAATATATGAGTAACATGAGAAAGCTTGATGGAAATTAATCCATGTGTAATGTTCTAGAAAACTTTCAACATGAAAGTTATTATAAACTAGAGGCCTGGTGCACAGAGTCATGCATTGGTGGAGTCCCTTGGTCTAGCCTGCGGGGATCGGGCCAAAATTAGCTCTCTGAAATCCCTTGAGGAGTCCCAGATTGTGAGAGGGCAGTTCTTGGGTGACACACCCCAGAATCAGGCTCCCTTCTCTCTGGTTCCTAAAAAGACTCACAGTAGAAGTCCTGCTGAATGTAAATAGCATAGGAAAGACTTCAGTCGATCCACATCCTTACATGTGGGGTGGGGGTAGATATAAATATATGAGTAACATGAGAAAGCTCGATGGAAATTAATCCATGTGTAATGTTCTAGAAAACTTTCAACATGAAAGTTATTATAAACTAGAGGCCTGGTGCACAGAGTCATGCATTGGTGGAGTCCCTTGGTCTAGCCTGCGGGGATCGGGCCAAAATTAGCTCTCTGAAATCCCTTGAGGAGTCCCAGATTGTGAGAGGGCAGTTCTTGGGTGACACACCCCAGAATCAGGCTCCCTTCTCTCTGGTTCCAGGTGCGTCACCCGAAAAACCTCAGCTGCCAAGTCACCACAGCTTGGTAGCTCCTGTGTTGAGCATCTGCCCCCTGGTGGTCAGTGTGCATCTTAGCTGCTGGTCGAAAGGTCAGCCAGTCACTTAGGTTTTTGTATATATAGATGTAAGTGTATTGTATTTATCAAGCCTCCTTAAAGTGCATTGTTGGACTGTGGATTTCTACTAATTATTTTCCAAGCTGAATATTCAGATAACTCTGTAGCATATCATTCAGCAATAATATATGATTATAGGTAGTGCTTCCCCCCCCACCTTTAAATCAGTTAATATTTCCATTTTGAAACTTGATGGATTCATAGATGAAGTGTATTTTTAATATGGAGTTGGGTTTAATTTTTTCATAATGTATTTGTTATGTATTAAGGGAATATTGAAAAATGAAAGTTTGGTTTTTGGGATTTTCCTATTGGTTTTGTGACAGTTCCTGGATGTCCTTAGTCTATTATATATATTCTACCTTTCTTAATGAGAAAGCTCCTTTTGGGGTATAGGAGTCTTTTTTCATGTTCCACATCAATAAACCATTGGAATACATTTTATGATAAGTATATGATAGTTTCATGTGAATTATTGTTTTCATGTGGATTTCTCCTTGGCAACACCAGGGTGTTGTGAGCTACAAGGATGTCAGAATCAGTGGCAGAACATATATGATGAACTGATTCCCCTTAGTCACAGCTGTCACATTTTATCAGACCTGCTTTCTTAATTATTTCTACAATACTTAAAACTTGATTTACTTTAAATGAGAAAACAAATGACTCTAGAATTTGTTGAAATAAGTCACTCCATTAGTGTCTTTCTCCCCACACCCCTTTACTATAGAGGCATCCAAGAGTCTCCAAACCCATGGTGGACATAAATTCCCCAGGGCATTCTCATTCAAGAGACTTTGCTGTATACAGTAGAGCAGCCATTGCTGGCAATGACAAAATCCTTTTGTAACGGAGGCCCTCCCAGGCCTTGAGTTAATCTTGTTCTGCAGTCTGCTTCTCCTTTTGCCTTAGGTCATGAATGGGGGACCCTCGGGCTTTCTAGCTATAGTTCTCATTGAAGAGATACTAGTACTTACAGCACAGAGCTGAAAATGGTGCCCCTGGTATATCCCACCTATAAGAGGAAGTGTGTTTCCTTAACATTAATTCAGTCTGTTTTGAAGAAGGTAACTTTTCTAGACATACTGGCCACTTTGGGAATCTCTTGGGAGCACATGAGATTCGTATGCTTTATAGACAGTGTGCCTGCACCACACCTGGTGGAGTCCCCTGCAGAGATGCTGCATTTTCTCCTTAGATTGAACAGGCCTGATTAAAGACGGGACACCAGCAGCAGATCTGTTAAATGCCAGTCAGTCATGTTAGCATTAGAGAACATCATGGCCAGAATCGAACTCATTTACACATTTTTTGGCACTAGCCAATATCTAGCTGTCTCATCTTACCAATAGCAGTAACTCCTTATCCAATGTCACCTTTTGGCATAGCAAACTCGGAATATCTTGCTTCACAGTAACCAAGTACAAGTCAAGTAATGGGTGGAAGCCTCAACACTCTAAGCAAAGATCACAATAGAGCTAGACTCGGTATTACATATAATGAGCTCATGTTTAAATGCGCTTGTAAACCAGGATTACAGTTCCGTAAGTGGCTTTGCAGCCCATGCCAACCCCTCATCCAGAAAGGACCCCAGACCCTCTCGTCCCAATCTGGCCTGGGCGCCCCTCTTGTTCAGGACAAGGGAGTCCCTCTTTCTGGAAACTGAGTCTGGAATTTCCAGCGCACACATGGTCCCGCTTTCAGGAAGAGCTACCAATACAGGAAGACACCACTGCCCCTCTAAGGCCACGGACCAGTTTGGGTAAAAAGGGTCTTGGGGGATGGGGAGGACAATCGCGACTCATTCTGGGGGGGGGTTATGCCTGGGAGGGACTGTGGCCTGTGGTGTTCCCAGTCCCTCCTTTCTCCCTAGGGGACACATTTTCTCCTGATTTTTTCCAGTGTGTGGGAAGCTAAGTCTTTCAAGTCTACGACCCATTAATACTAAGATGGCCAAGCTGAGGATCCTTCATGCTTATAAATTTATTTTTGCATGCACAATTAGAAAAAGCTGCTATAAAACTAGGCAGAATGAATGGAAAACATTAAATTGGCCTCCGCTTCCATTTAGATAAATGGACCAACCTATGACACTGTTTAAGTGCCAACTCATTTGTGTGTGTGTGTGTGTGTGTGTGTGTGTGTGTGTGTGTGTGAATCCTCACTCAAGGATAGCAACCTAGGTACCTGCCCTTGATCGGAATCAAACCCGGGACCCTTCAGTCCGTGGGTTGATGCTCTATCCACTGAGCCCAACCAGCTAGGGCTCAACCCAATTTTTGAGGTATTAAAAATGACTGTCCTTATTTTAAAGGGGGGAAAGTCATGTCCTGACCAGTGTGGCTCGGTTGGAGCGCTGTCCCGTACACCTAAAGGTCACCGGTTTGATTCCCAGTCAGGGAAAGCTGGGGGTACAGGTGCACCTGGGCAAAGGGGTGAAGTAATGCCGATGGTCTTAATCCAGCATCTAGAAGGGTTCAGGAACCTGGAGAAGGCACTGTGCATAAATTAAATAAGAGTCCAGAGACAAAACATAATTTTGAAAGGCATTATAGGCAGTCAGAGAAGACTTAGCTAAAGGGACTAAGTTCTCCTGTCTCAGGACCCCTTGCTATTTATTAACACAATTTGTCCTAATGCAAAGTAGATATACATCAAAGGCCAGGGTTTGTATACAGAAGCGTTGTCAGATTGGGGAATTGCCTTTGGCAGTTCAGGTGTTTGGCCAGTAGGAGACAATAACATGTAGATTGAAATGCCCTTAGCTGTCTGGCAGCAAGCAATCATTTTATGCATCCTTTTCAGGTTTGGGGAAATGCCCTCAGCCACCTCCAGATTCAGCCCTGCTGACATCCTTGAATTGGCTTCCGGCAGCGAAGCCCCTTCTGAGGTTTTAGTTATGCTTCCCCTGTGCCTATTTCTAGGCATATAGATTGGAGTTTTGCATCCACAATGTGGGTGCACTCAGAGTGTCATTTGTGCACGTTGAGAAAGTCTGTGAAAGTCAGGAGTGTGTCCTGGGTTAGGGATTGTGAATTTGGGAGTTCATTTAGGTCAGAACCTTCAACTAAATCCAGCTGAGCACTTCCTCGCTGTGAGCTGAAGCCTGGGAGAGGGAGCATTTCCATTATTCCCCAGGGAGAGGAGGGTGTTGGAGCTCCCAGACTTTATTCCTTGGGCTGCTCAGGTGTCCCTCCTCACCTTTCCCAGGGACAGATCCACTCCAGAGGTTCTTTCTGTCTCAACCTGGGAAGTCTAGGATGTAAACCTTCTGAAAGTGGCTCTCCTGTCCTGTGGGAAGCAGGCTGCTCATCTGAGCTGATTCCAATACTGTGTTTCTTTCCTTTGGATCCTTTATCCACTGAATAGTGCAGGCCTTTGGCTCTAGTTTCCCTGAGAACTTGGACTCTGAAACTGTAAGATGACAGAGACAATAGGTGAGAAAATCAAGAAAACTGTGGAACCAAGTAGAATTTTTATTCCTTTATAAGAGAACCTGAAGAAATGAGTTGAGTTGCCCCATGTCCTTTTAGTCAGCAAGAGATTTGAAATTTTTCTTTGTATGGTTTGTACTTTCATAACTATTAGTGTTTAAAGAATTTAAATCTTAGAATGGTTAGTAAATAGTAAATTATGGTATGTATAAATTTTTGTGTTTATTTTTTAATACTTTTTTTATTTCAGAGAGGAAGGGTGAGGGAGAGAGAGCTAGAAACATCAATGATGAGAGGGAATCATTGATTGCTGCCTCCTGCATGCCCCACACTGGGGATTTAGCCTGCAACCTGGGCATGTGCCCTAAACCGGGAATCGAACCGTGTTCTCCTGGTTCATAGGTCGAAGCTCAACCACTGAGCCATGCCAGCTGGGCTCTGTGTTTAAATAAATCTGTAAGATAGAAAAGTCTAAGGTGAGACGACTCCCTGCAAATATCTTCTGGCCCCTCCAGCACTCTTACTCCAGCCACCCCCAAAAACAGTTTTGATCATTTCTTGAGCCTTCTGTTCGTGTTTCTCTATATAAAAACAAGCCATTGCAAGTATATATTTTCTTATGTATGTTTTTCCTTGTAATAAGCTATTAGACTCCACATTTTTTGTTGTTTGCTGACAGCTTAAGCCTCCCCCTCCCTCTTCTCTTGTGTCCACATAAGGGAATAACGGAAACGCTCCCTCTCTCAGGCCAATGAGAAAAACTGGGGCTTCCTCCTCTGGCACTGGCTTCAGATTCCAACCACACAAGCCCCGGCCTATGTGGCTCTCCTGTCTCAGGCCCCACCGAACCCACAGCAGACACCCACACCAACCTCCTTTCCTTGCTTCCTGAAGCCATTTCAGAGCTGCCGGAGAGGCACCCTGCTCTCTCCAAAGACCTCTATTATGTCCGTTGTAAGCCTTTTCCTGCCTACCCTCTGGGCCACACTAGAATCGGTCTCAACATGAGGACCACACCTCTGCAGGTAAAGGTACCACTGGGTATGTAGGCAACATGTCCCCACATGACCACCATTGTTCATTTGTCTCTTGCTCTAACTTGCTCACCTGCTCTGCTGCCTGCTGCCTGCACTGTGGCTGCTGGGCTCTGGAGAGCTGTGCTGTGAGCTGTGCTGCCCCGTGTGGCATTGCTGAGACTACCAAGCCTCAGTTCTATGTGCAGAGTGGGCAGTTTTGAGAAATTCTAGATATTTGGGAGCAGAAGTGTGGGGTTGAGACCCTCCTTAAAGTGGTCCTGGGTTGTTGCCTTTGCTGGAATTTATCTGTGTGTTAGAGAGAAGCTGTGACAGCGGCTGGGTTGGCCCCCACATGCCCTG